CATATAACAAACGACAAACGGGCATTACATAATTAGTATACCATTTCGAAATAATATACTTCAACTAGATGATTCGCGTGAATAGACGGAAAAGCGATTGTATTTGTTTGAGAGAAAATTAGCTAGATAAGCCGTTACCAAAATCTAGTAAATTATTTTCATTGTATTTTTAGACAAATGGAATTATAAGACTTGGTGGCAGATTGCGAAATATGTCCATATAATTTCAGAAAAGGCATCCTATATCATCCTATACTCTCCAAGCACCGTTTACAAATAATAATAAAAAACGAACATATTAGATTGTTATATGTCAATAGCATCATTATGGTGATATTAGCCCATAATCTACAAAGCTATCAATAGAAAATGCGTAATGCTATCTGCAACATTATGAATATTGAATTGAATATTGACGCCGTTTTCTGTGGTCTATTTCTAACGCGTGAGAGAACCTGTAGCATGAGCATAATGCTATTTATGCATTATATGTATAGTTTACCACGAAAGCAATATATCTAAAATTAATCACGAACCTCTCCATTGAGGTATTTTTAAATTGTTTGCGTAGATTCACAGCTCGCAGAGGATTATGTAGAACAATTCTCAGATAATAGAACAAAGGCTCGCGAAATGAATTAAATTTTTGAAAAATAAATAGCATAATACAAAAATATCAAGTGCATTAGGAAAATACAATATGGAATGACGCCTGAATCTTCTGCACACGTCATATTTTAATAGGATTATGGAAGAATAAAATCTACCAAATATCATCTGTCATTATGTCGTTGATAAACAGAGATTGATATTCGAAAAGTTATATACTCTGTTAACTTAAATAGAATCTTGGAACTTCCGATCCATTACTCTGTTATCTGATCTCAATGATCTGTATCCTTTGATTCCAGATTTCCTAATAGGTAATGCATTCACTGCAATACTAAAGAATGACTTGCGAAAAATAAAAGTGAATCGCCTCGGCCAATATCAGTTAATTCAATACATGTTCCAGCATTTTTAGTAACGTTAGAATAAAGAATTACAGCAATTACAGCAAAGGAACAAATGACACAGATTAATAAGTACTTTGCATTAAAATGATAGTAATAATACAAGAAGAAAACTTTCCCCCTCTACAATGATGCATAAGTAGTGTGATACAACTTCATCTTGGGATATCCTGCATATAGTCACCGTAAAAGTACGTAAAAGTCACTAGCGGCATGATCAAGAGACCAAGTGAAGTTGTACATTTTGCCCAAAATCTACGCAAACAAAAAAACAGCGAATCATCTTTGGATCCAAATGATAAGAAGCGAATCAGTACAAATCAACTCACCTAGATAATAAGGAGGCGCAGATATTATAAAAACATTTTGCGTAATTAATATGTCAATGAAATATATTACAATGAAATCGCCAATGATTTCAAGACGGACTGTTAAAATGAAATGAAAAAATATTAAAGATAAAGATGTTAAGCATAAGAAACGATTAAACAGTTCAGATTTTATTTTCAACAATTCGAGAATCTTCAATAGTCTGACAATAATTTATGAGTGGATATAGTTCTTTAACGCTTTCCAGATTTTCAATTTAAACGGAGATATAGCAATGGCCACTTTACAAGTCATACTTCTATATCTTGTGACAGATCACTATAGAAGCGTCCTAACCGACGCGATTCACAATGGTTCGAAGGATAGAAACTGGACAAAATTATTTTTTTCTGATTTTGAATTTATAGAGTTTATATGGAGATTTAATTTTTAGAAAACAATATTGAGTTTTATTATAATTTATTATTTTATTAAAAATATATATAACAATAATATAACTAAATATATAAAAATATTTAATTAATTAATAATTAATTAATATAAATATTTAATTGCACTTAATTAATATAAAATAAAAAAAATACAAGTAATCAATATATAAATATACAAATATACAAATATATAGGAAAATAATATAACTTAAAATAGAAAAAAAATTAATAAATACTTAAATAAAATTGAAAAGAATAAAACAAAATTATAATTTTTTAAATTATAACATTAAAAATATACTTACAATTAAAAATATGCTAGTTTTATTCACTACTTGAATTTGAATCCGATGACTTGCGTAATGAGAATGAGATACATGGATTGAACAATTTGTATTACAATATTACAAAAAAGATGTGGTCGAATCTATTCTATTGAAAAAAAAAAATGCAAAATGTGACAAGTCATTACTCTCAGATCATACTCTTAAATAATCACACAAAAAATCTGCATGGCAAATGTAACAAAAAAGTTATAGCAGGTAATTAATTTAAACAGCATTTCAAATTTGATAAATATAATAATAATAATAAATTGGATAATAATAATAATAAATTGGATCTTGAGAATTCAATGATAAAATAATATTCTAAAAAAACAGATATTAAGAAAAAAATGCTTATTAAAAAAAGAAGTTATGACTATTTGTTAGAGATATCCGCAAAAATCCTATTCTATAAATTATTCAATAGATATGAACCAGATATGAAAATAATAAACTAAATAGTTAAGAAATAATTTAAGAAAATAACAATAAAAACAATGAAATTGAAAATTATAAAATGAAAAAAATATTGTAACTATACTAATTTCTTTTACAAAATTTTTTATTTTAATATATCTACTTAATCTTCATTTCTTCTTAAAAAAAAAAAAATAATAAAATTTTATATTTTATTATTTTCTATTTTATTCCAAAATATAGAAGCAATTATATTTTTGTATAAAATAAAGAATCTTTTATAATCTTTTATAATAATCGCTTATAATAAATTTTTATTGATATTAACAATATTATAATATAATATAATATAATATTATATTATATAATATTATATATATTAGATAGAGACATACTTAACAAAAAAATTAATAGACAGAAATTTATTTAGAGATTTGTCTATCTACTGAATAAAAAAAAAAATATTCGTAAAAATTATTTATTTAAATATAACTATTTAATGCTTTGTTATCATTTTTATTTTACTATATTTTATTATTCAACAAACTTAAATTATGATAAATAAATACAATATATGATTTTTAATGATTTTATTTGAAATTTCTCATTGCTTTCAAACGATAATATATCGGATATTATCTCGGGTATGAAAAATTTGTATTATTTTTATATGAAAAAGTTATTATATAAGAGTTTATTACATAAGTTATTATATTATTAATATATATATAATTATATAAGTATATTATTATAAAAAACAAATGTACAAATTATCATAAAAAGATATATATTTATTTTAAAAAAAATTGAACAATAAACAAAGAGTAAATTTTTTCTTTCATTTCTTATTGTGCTTTATTTCACTTATAATTGGGTCAATAATTAATTCAATACAGAATTAAGTTCAAATCCAAAAAATCTTATGCTGTTACATAATAAATGATAGATTCTGAATTTTTGAAAAAATATTTTGTTCTAGGAAAAATAGATTTTCAATATTGTATTCAATTGAAAACATAATAATATTTTATTATATTAATTTATTTATAATTGCTTGTTTCAATTAATATATTGAATTTTTAAACTGTCTTTCTCAAATCAAAAACTAATAAATGTCTAAAAAATGTCCAACGTTATACAAAAATAAAAAATATCTAAACTATTCATTATCTGGAGGATGAAATAAATTTTTACTTAAATGTTTAATTATATAAATATAATTAATATAAAAATAATTTGTTTTTAAATAGATGTAATTTATTTAGTAATTATTAATCTTCTTCAAATCTTCAAATTCCAATTTTTTGATATATGTATAGCTTTCAAAAATCAAAATATTCTTTGAAATATTATTCATATTCTTTCATTTATATAATAACTAAAACATTGATAAAATAAATAGAAAAAATAACTTGAATGATTTTAATGCAATTTTGTATAAAAAATATTATTTGAAATAATTAAATAAAAATATTGTTTATTATTTTGATTTTCTTAATTATATATTAAATATCTTTTTCTGAAATAATAGTATATGTTTATATTATTGAAAATTATTTAATAATATTATTAAATTTATTTAATAATAATAAATTTAATCACAAAGTAGCTCATGTATATATATATATATATATATATATCTCAGTATATTTTTTTAATTTGCTTTTTATATTTTATAGTTTTTGAAAAAATCATTTACTCAATTTTATTATTTGAAAATTTTAATTATTTTCAAATAAATCTTTTATTTTCATATGTTTCATATTTTAATTATTTTTCAAATTTTAATTACTCAAATTATTAATATAAATTAAATGCATAAAAAATTACAATTTTCATACAATAATATTTTAAATCATTACAAAATATTATTATTTCAATTATTAACTGAAATGTAATCTACAAATATTGTATAAAATAAATTTTTAATTATTATTTTATTTATTTAAAAATATTTCATATAATTATTTTCTATAATTTCTCTTTCACGTTCATCGATGTTTCAATGTAATTTTTTTTCGAGTCAAAATTTAAAAGAAATTTTAATAATCTATGTTCTAGAACTTTAATTAAAATATTGTTTGTGATTAATAAGAATTCTTATGCAACAACACAAAAACAGTAAAGTGAATTTTGTTTAATAATGCAGTAAACATATATGATTTTATTTGAATATATATTAGTTTCAGTCATATCTAATTATTTTCATTAATATTACTCTATCGAAATCAACTTATCAGACATTTCTTCAAAAAATTTCTTGTTATTTACAATATTTCATCAGTTAATTATTTTATTCATAGTATTCATTTAAATTTATATTCAAAGAAAGTAGTGAATTTTTGAAAATTTAAATTTGATATAATGTAAAGGAGTGATTAATATCTCTTAAATGAAATTGAAAATGTTATATAATTATTGTAAAATTGAAAGAATCAAAACAGAATTCTTTTTATAATTAATAATTAAAAATAATCATTTATAATTCATTCATTAAAATAATTGAATAAATGATATCTTAATACTAGTTTCCATTGAACAAGCCAAATGGATTATTTACATTATTTAAAAATGAAATTTATTTTTACATTAGTAATAAAAGTAATAATATGATTATAATATTTTATGTTAACTTTTTTATCTGTTATATCGTCAGGATTGCTAATATTTCAAAATATATTTTTCTGTCAATATATTTATCTATATCACATTTAACATTATCTAATTATTTTAATTTTAATTTTTAATGTTACATACATGTCATGTTTTATTTTATGAATTTGGATGTTTTGTAGAGATCATGTTTAAATCAACAATTTGACAGTTTTCGATTGTTAAAATCTTCGGTTCGTTGGCGATCAAAGTTTTCGTTTTATCTGGACACACAGTAATGCTATATTTAACATAAAAAAATTAATAATTAATATATAATTATTAGTAAATAGTTATGAAATAATTAGATAATTATTCAATATACTACATTTAATAATTATACAATAACACTATATAGTAATTAATTATAATATTAATGATTAGAAATATGTTGAACAATTATGTAAATTCATGAAAATTGAGATATTATAATTTTTATTAAAAAATTTAAAATTGAATAATTGAAGACATTAAATATAAAAAGGATTTTATATATAAAAATTTTTATATATAAATTTTATAGATTTTAAATAATTTTTTAATTATCAAAACAGTATTTATTAATATATATATTATTTATTTATATATATATAAATTTATCAAAAATTATTTATATATTTATATACATTACATGTATTTTATATTTTATATATTTAATAATTTAAAATCTTATTTTTTAAAATAAAAAAGTGATTTTTATTACAATGAAAAATGAAAATTTATAACTCATTATGACATTTACGATCTCTTACACGTATTTTTTATATATGTATATGTAATAAAGAACATATATATATATATATATATATATATATGCAATAAAGAACATATATACATATAATATATACAATTATGTTTATGTTATATTTATGTGCAAATATTATATACAACGTACGTTATATATAACGTACAAGAAAAATTGTTGTGCATCGATATTTTGTGATTAATAAAAATAAGGAAAAACTTGTATATTATACAATAACACTATACAATAACATTATACAATACACTATACAATACAATATTTTGTAATAAAATTATATTTATTTTTATATTATATTATAAATAAATTATATTTATTTATTATTATATTGTTATTATTTTTAATATTATAGTATTATTAAAAAATCGTTCATAAAATGTGAAAAGATTATATGGTTCGATAAGATGGAAGAGTAATATAATTATGAGAAATTTTCGAGTAAATCAAATTTGAAAACTTTTCAAATATAAATTAGCTAATTTTCTATAACATATGAATGAATTGTTGGTAGTATATTATTATAAATGGAAAAGAATATAAAATGTTTTTTGATAGAAAATTATTAAGAATATATTTTTTTCATTTTAAAATAGATTTTTGAAGAGTAAATTTGAAAATTCATAGATTAAATTATAAAACTTTTTAATTATATTTATTCAATCTTGATTTTCAAAAATTAAAACTTAAATGATAAAATTTCATTTTATATTTTTTGTTTATTTTTACTATAGAATAATCATCTAATGATTATTTCATTCCAATCTGAAATTGGTTATTTAGTTATTTTCTCTTATATTTAAAAAATTTTGATTTAATTATTTTTAATGAAATTAATAAAATTTAATAATTAAAAATTAAATAAATTATTATTAATAATAAATAAATAAATAAATAAAGCTTATAAGGTTATTTTAAATCATAAAATTTCCGTTATTTCATTTATATCGTGAATTACGAATCACATTTATTTATTTTTATTAATGTTATTGTATATTATATTCTTAAGAATTTATATTTTATTATATTATTATTACATATACAAAAATTGAATATTTAAAATATACAGAGAGTAATTTCATTTAATTTGAACATTTTAAATATCTCGCTTTATTTAATTTATTTAATTCGGATAAAACTCAAAGATTTTAGTGAATATCAATTTTTTGATAAGTATAAAAAATAGTTGTAAACCAGCGAAAAAAAAGAACGAAATTCAAAATATTGCATATCATATGAATACTGAATGTATGAATATATGTATATAAAAAAAAATTGAATGTTTGAAAAAATTCTTATTCATTTTATAAATTTTTTGAACTTCTTTGTAATCTGCGGAATGTAAAAATAATGTACAAAACTTTTAGACAATTAAAATTATAATAAACAAAATTATATGTAAATCTATCATTAACTTCGATTGTTAATTAAAATTGTTTTATATTTTATTTCGCATTGCTCATATTTAAACTCATTACACACTTTTTGACTCGGTTTCGTGATATTTTTATATAAGAATATTTATATAAATTAAATGTTTATACAAATACATATTAGTTATATGCTGTCATGGATGCATATGTATAATCAAAATTTATTTATAATAGTATTATTTATAATGATATTTATAATAGTATTTATTTATAATGGAATTTATAATAGTAATAATAGTTTTTGCAAATTAAGAGAATCTAACTTTTTCATAAAAGGAAAATGTCGATTTTTATAATATATTTAAAATATATAATATATTATATAATACATATAATATATTTTATAATATATTTAAAAATCATTGAAATCAGGAATGCTTAATTTATAGATTCAGCAAGAATGGTTTTATTTTCCGAGATTTCAAGAACATTCAAATTTTTTAAATAAAATTAAATATTTTTATCATCATATGATAGTTGTAATAAATTCAATAATTTATGATCGTCACAAAAACTTAGAAACAAAATGAATAAAGTTGATAAATAAAATGAATATAATAGAATTATTATTATTATTTAATATATTATTCTATATAAATTATTTTTTTTATTATTATATTATACTAAGATTTATTCTAACAAGTGTCTAAATAATTTTTATCAATTTCAACATATTTCTATAAATTTTAAAAAAATATAAAAAAATATATTAAATGAATATATTATTATAATATATTATTGTATATATATTTATATATATACAATTATTATATATTATTATAATATATTATTGTATATATTATAATAAACTTAAAATAATAATGCATATAAGTTTATCCATTTTATGTGAAATCACAAAAAAGAATTTTTTCTCATCATCTCATCATATTTTTGATTATATAATTTGTTTTATGAACTAGTTATAATCTAATAAATATAAGTCAAAAATTTCAAATAATTTAGGTAATGTAAATTTTGAATAATCATGAATATAAAATAAAAAATATATTGTTTAAATTATTCAAATATTATATACATACCCATAAGCGGCCGCCAAACTATCGATTCTCAATGAATCAATATATACACAAGGCGTATGTAAGAGCCTCCATGTGAGTGGATTGAAAAAAGAAGCTTGATACTCCCACATAATTTCAACTGCTTCCGGTTTACCCACCACATTGCCTGGTAATACTATAGTATGAATGCTTCCTGGTTCATAATACTTTGAATGAGAACTAAGAAACATCTCTTCTGTTTTTTTTCCGCCTTCACCAAATATTTTAATTGCAAAGGTACCAACTTCGCCACCGTGATTCAGGCTTTCATTTGTTCTTGAAATATTAATGGTGATTTTATAATGGTCTTCTGAAAATTAATTAAAATTTTCTTTGATTGCTAATTATTTTAACATATCATCATCATCATCATCATCATCATCATCATCATCATCATCATCATCATCATCATCATCATCATCATCATTATTATTATTATTATTATTATTATTATTATTATTATTATTATTATTATTATTATTATTATTATTATTATGAAGAAAAACTTATGATTAGAAAATTATTTGGAAATTTTAAATTATAAAAAAATTTATAAAAAATAAAATAAAATATTTTTATTTTGAGAATTATTATAGAGGTAGTATAGGTATATAGGTAATTATGGTTAGCTATGGGTTAGCTAATATTTATTATATTTTATAGAGTTGCAACTGGACTGATAATGCTAAAATAAAAAAAATAGAAAGAAATTTCAATAAAACAAACAATTTTTAATGCTTTATCTAATATATAAATTTTACAAAAATAAAAAAATTTCATAAATTTAAAAGCCAATAATTTTTTTTTATATATAACTATATATTTTTTACAAAAATTGATATATTTTTTCATTCTCTATATAAAAAAATTATGTAATTGAATTAAAAATTAATTAGTTTTCAAAATAATATAATTTTTTCATAAAATCATATATTATTGAATCATAAAATCTACAAATTTGTGGATTCTGTTGAATGCATATAAGAATAAACATAACATTTTATCTCTGCACTCTTAGGCTTTAAATTCTTTTGAATCAAGAAAAAAAAATTGTATTTCTATAATTTTAAATTTATAAATTTCTATAATTTCTAATTTACAATTTTTTAAAATATGTACATATTATTAATTGTATTCGATTAGAATATTTTTCATTAATTTTGTAATTTTACACTTTGATTGCAAAAAACAAATATATATATATTTATTTTTTTGAATTTGTAAATGATACAAAGTGAAGTAACGTTCAAGTATACATATTACCCAAATAAAATATTATGGGAAAAAATTAAAAAATCTTAGAAACTAATTATTTTCTAATTAACATAAGCAATAAAATTTGGATAAGAAAATTGAAAGAAATTTGGAAAGAATGGAAATTTGGAAACATAAATATACTTATATTGCATAAAAATTTAGTTTATTACAGATTTTTGAATTGATTATAGAAAAAGAAATTTTTATATTGATAATTTTTTTTAGAATTACTTAAAACAAATTGAAAACTGAAATATTTAAGAATACTAATTAATTATTTGAAATAATAATATATCAAAAATAACAAAATCTCAAAGAAAAAATGTAGATATTTGCATATTCAAAAATTATAATCAGTTATTAATTTGAAAAATATGTTACAAAATATATTAAAATATTCTATCACTTAACTTTATATATCATATAACATTATTCTATTAGTATTTATTTTTTCTTTTTTTATTAATATATTAATTTCATCTGATTAGTTTCATTATATGAAAATTAAATTATTATTTAAAAATCTAAGTTCAATAAAAAATTTTTAAAAGAATTATTTTTATTAAAATTTTTCTATAAATTTAGTATTTTGTTTTATATTGTTTTTTGGAGAGGGAAGCTTTATATTTATTATTAATATCTTAATTGTGTAATTATTATATATATATTTATCAAATAATATAATTTAATAATGAAAATTGATAATTTATCTTAGCATTTATTTTGCAATGACTTACAATATATAATAGAATTTACAATAAATGTGTTTAGATAAACTTATTTATTATTTTTATTATATTCTTTTAATTATTATTAAATTAATAATATAAAACAAAATAATATGTAAATATATTTAAGAAAATATTTAAAAACAAATTAATTAATTATGATAATAATTGTGATAATTATGATAAATATACATAATGAATACATAATTTTTAAAAAATATTATATATAATAATTATTATAATAAAAATTTTATAATAGAAATATTATATATAAAATTATAAATATAATAATTGCTATCAAATTTCACAGCAATTTTGAAAACAAAATTCATATTATTAAAATATTTTTTATTATATTTCATAAATTATTATATTTTATAAATTATTTTATTATATATAAAATATTTTTTTATTATATTATATTAAAATGAAATATTGATTTAGTAATATTTTTAATGGATTATATTATATATAATTTATATTATTTTAAATCCAAACAATTTAAATATTCGCCGACTATATTCACACTTAACTATATTCTGATCTATTTTATTGTTACTCTCTTACAGATTTATGTTCATTATACTGAATCAATATTTTTAAGATTTCTATAATAATAAAATTTATTATTGATGTTCTATTTTTACATATATTTTTGATTATCCAATACATAAACACAAATCTAAATCAAGAAAGTAAACTACAGTGAAATCAAGATATAATTAAGTGTACATATATTCAGCGAATATTTAAAGATTTTCTAAGAAATAAAACCTTATATTTTATACGAAAAAATTTTAATCAATATTTTCGATTTATTTTTTGATATAATCTTTTCTAATTATTATCTTATTATCTTTTTATCTTATTATCTTTTCTAATTATCTATATCAATTATTCTTTATATCATATATAAATAACAATAATAATGATATACTTTATATATATAATATAATTATTTATAATATAATTAATATAATAATAATTATAATAATTATGTTCGAATTTTTTTTCGTTTCACTATCATCATAATTAAATAATTAAATTAATTTCATTTTTTTATTAAAATCCGGATGAAAAAAATTAACATATTATAAAAATTAATATATTAACAATAACAAATTTAAAAATATATATATAATATATTTAATGTGTGGATTATATAATATGATTATTAAATATGATTATAAAATGATTATTAAATGATAATGATTATAATGAATTATTTAATAATAATTAAAAGTGATTAAATGATTAAAAAAATTCATAAAAAAATATATATCAAGACTTGACAATTATTTAACTCTCCGATTTCTTTTTTATATAATTTTAAAATAAAGAAAGGTGCTATATCAATTTCGGCCTTAAATATATATAAATTCTAATGCAAAGAAAGGAAAGATGGATGGCGCTTTCTGGAATGAATTTTATCTTGTTCACTAATTGTATATTTCGTTTATCGAATTTATGAGAAAATTTCCATGATATCATTACAAAACATACATTGAATCGTCGAATGGTCGAAGATATCGAGTTGTATCTAATATGTTTTTTAATTTTATAAACATGAAATAATTAATGAAAATATATAAATTTAAAAAAATACTTACTACAAAATGGTTTGGTCGAACCTGTCATCAGATAAACAGATGCATGATAATTTCCTGGCTGAGCATCTAATCCAAGTTTAGGGCAATATTGATTCACGCAATCAAAGCAATTTCCGTTTTGAAACTTTTCCCAAGATGGGCAAGGAACTCCCAAAAATGAACACTTTGTATTGATACTTTCTATAAAATATTCATAGCTGCGAATATGATTGCAACCAACAAATCTTTTTATTCCTGAAATTAACGATTTTGATAATATTAATTATTTTGATAAAATATATTTCTTGCAATAATATTTAATAATTATTTACTTTAGCAGATTGTCTAAATTTGGTATAAATTTTGATTATTTCATTACAATTTTAATTAGCTCTTATCATTAAAATAAAAAATTGATAAAAATATTGAAAAAGTAATGCACTTTTTAAAAAAAAAACTATTTCATAAAATATTTTCTCTCTCTCTCTCTCTCTCTCTCTCTCTATATATATATATATATATATATATATATACATACATACATATATATGCTTGCACATGATCATCATTTATCTTATATTATCATGTTTAGTAGAAATCATCGCACATTTAGTATTTATCTATAGAAAGGTTTCGACAATTAAAATTATATTAATAATTGAAATTATAATAACAGTAACATCAGCCTCATACTTAACATCTATTATACGCATATATATAGAAATATTATGTAACAATTTTATTTTCTTTTTTAAATGATAAAAAATAAATTATTTTAAAATATAGCATTTAAAAAATATATCATTTTTTTCATTTTTTCTGATTGAGTATTTTTCTTATTTTAATGATAAAATTTCATTGTAGTGAAATAATCAAAATTGAGAAAAGATGTTAAATATGTTAAATAAATGCATAATTTTTATCAATTAAATTAATTATCAGTAATTAATTATCAATACTATTTTATAATATTTTCATTCATAAAAGTTTTAATCTAAAGTACTTAAAAATATTCTTATTAGCATACATATTTTGTTCAAGATCGTTATCAAATGTATGATATGAATGTTTAAAATTTGTATATGATGATAATGTCATTTTTGCTGTAGCTCAATAATCCCTTCGTAAAAGCAATACATAAGAGAAATAATATTTTAACTAATGATAATAATAAAATGATAGTAATAAAAATGAAATAATTATTAAAAGAATTTAAGAGTAAACAAAAATGTTAATCGAAAATAATCCCTAATCAAAAATACTTTAATACGTTATATGAATCTTTTCATTAAATAGTTTATGAATTTTTGTGAAGAAGATAGTTTTGTGAATAAGATAATTCAAAAAACAACAAAACTATATAATAAAAAAAATCTTTAAATGTTTTCTGTTTAGAAAACTTTTTTATTAGAAAAATGAAATAAAATTTTAATATATAAAATAATAATGATAATTATTATCCCTAAGCTTCAAAAATTAGAGACATTACATTGAATTTTATTTACATCTATTTTTACTACAAATCTCTGATACTTTATTTGTTGCTAATTTATTTATATCTATTAGTTTCAATTTCTTTATTTCTGTATCATATATTTTAGTTTTCACTAAAATCTCTTATATAACTGCATATGCAAAATTAAAAAAAAATTTAAAATTTTTATTTCGGTATCATGTTATAATAAACTTGGATATTTTATAATATATGAAGTTATGAGTGGACATTCCGCAAATCTTTCAAATCGAAAATATAAAAAATCGAAGATATAACAAAACAATCTTTGATATTAAGCAATTAAATATTGGCTTAATATTTATCATTGTAATATTAAATGATCAAACGAACTTTTCTAAAATAATTATATAAAAAATTTTTAAAGAAATTATATACATATAATATACATATAATAATACTTTAATTTACAAATCACAATATTGAAAATAAAAAAGAAGAAAAATTATGGTTTTAAAGAACTTCATTATCTTGCTCTTTATAATTTAAAATGATCTAAAACGAAAAGGGATCGAAATATCTGAAAGTTATAGTAGAATCTGAATCATATTGCGACCGAATTTCATTTCAAAAAAGCTCATTTAATTATTAATTATATTTTAAACCTTATTCTCAAGATGTATGTAGATATGTATATATATATACATATATATAATATATGAAGTTATGAGTGGACATTCCGCAAATCTTTCAAATCGAAAATATAAAAAATCGAAGATATAACAAAACAATCTTTGATATNTATTATTAAATTAATTTTTTATTATTACAATATTTTATTATTATTTTAATATTAATAAATATATTAACAAATAATAAAATAATAAAAAATTATAATTAAAAATATAAAGAATAGAAGTAAAGTATAATTCTTATATATTGTTTATATATTATATAAAGCTATGTTAATTATATAATCATGTAAAAGTTTACATTTAATTTTTTTTCAATTTGTTTATTTAAAAATTTAATATCGATGTAATTTTTGATATTTATTATTTAAAAGTTGTAAAATTTCTTGATTATTTTTACTATTAAGATTTAAAATTGATCCTCTAAAATTTAATCATGATTCTTCAAATCTATTCATCACAAAATGCATTAAATAATAATGCATGTTTGATTGATGGAATCAAAAAAATTATAATTTATATTATAAATATAATATTATTATTTTCTCTAATTCATTTTATCTATTTACTAAAAATCTGAGTTATAATTATTTTATACGTTACCAATAATGTAATCTGATTTGATTACTAATTTGTTATTCTTAATCTCAATATCAAGAAGTTTATGTATAACGATATAGCTTGTTGTTTAAATTTTGAAAGAATTAAATGTTTTGATAATGTTAAAAATTTCAATTTCCAATCCTGTTAGAGATTTATCTATATTATTGTTTTTAATATTTATAAGAATTTAACTTCTGTATTTAAAGATATCTCTGTATTTAATATTATTGACTTTGTGATTAAATGTTTTAAAAATAATTTTTTTAAAGGATTAAATTTCATAATCTAACACTATGAATTAATTTCAAATAAATAGACAAATAAATGACTTAAATAGATTATAATACTTCTGAGATGAAAAAAAAAGAAATGCTTAAATAATATTCTAACTAAAGAGTTAGTAGTTAGTAAAAAAAATTAAATATTTTAGTTTGGGAAATATGTAAATAATATTACTATATTCAATTATTTATTATTAAATCTACCGATATTAATTTTCATTTATTAATATATCTTTGACAAATAAAGATGACATTTCTGATGATTAATTTTCATTTATAACATTTCATTTACAGTAATATGTAATTAATATAGATTGCTGTTATAATATTGCACTATTATAATATATTGCGCTATTATAATATTTTCAACAATTATTATTAATCTTAAATTTAAACATATTTCAAATAAGAAGTTTTAATTAGAAATTATATTTTAGAAAACAAATAATTATTTTATCTTTTTGTGAAATAAAAAAAATTGTTAATTTATTTAGTGATTAACAATTAGCATTAAAAATTCAATATGCCATGACTTTTGCTAAAATATTTCTTTAAAAAATTTTGTTAAAATATTTCTTTAAAAAATTTAGAATATTATCATGTGCTGGATCAGAGAAGTTTATATTGTTTCTTTTGGCAAAAACTTGCTATTAACGAAAGGACAACTTATATTCATTGCAGTTATCATAATATTTATTGTTCATTCCATCCTTTATAAATGTTTGGCAAGTAATCTCTCTATTTATTAAATTTATTATTATAAATTTATTAAATTTAATTTTGTTTTAAAATGAATCCTCAATTTACATAAAAACAAGAAATTATCAAATTTAAAAATGATTCATTAAAAAGCAAACAAAGGCTAATTCTGTTGATTTAAGATACTCAAAATCTCTAATGCTTGTTTTATTTTTAAATATTTTGAATATTAAAACAAAAAAAGAAAAAATATAAAATGTCAGATCGAATCGATATTATAAATATATTTAAAAATATTTTTGACTTTTTTCTCAGGTAACCAAGAATAAACAAATATTACTCATTGCCATAATCTTTTTGTTAAATTATTTGGCGAGTTTGATTTCATCTATTATATTAATGGGAAAAAAGAATATGATAATTATATTATTTATTTTCTAGAAGATATACAATGAAACAGAGTAGTAGATACAAGCAAAATATTCATGTGATTAATTATTGCACTTGAAATTGTTAGCTAATTGATTATTCATCGATTTTAAGAATACAATTATTCTATTTTCTATAGTTCTTTTTAATAAATAAACTGTAATTCTAATCAAAATAATAATTAATGACATAATTCATTTCAGTATTTCTTGAGATTTTTCTTTGAGAATTTTTCTAAATTTTACATATTATATATTACACATTTAAAGTATCTCTTCCTTCTTTGAAAATTTAAAAACAAATTGCTTTTTTTGATATATTTTTTCAAATATAATAAAAATCAATAATTCTTATTTTTCTTATTTTTTAATTCTTACATTTATCTTTTAAACTAAACAATAGACAATTTTTATAACGAAATTCATATTTAATATACAAATATAATATAATAAAAATTCTTTTTATAAAATTTAAAAATTTTGTTGATTTGTTTTTTGTATCATCATTTATGTATATAAATATATAATAATAGTTATAATAAAAATATAATACAATAAAAATACAATAAAAATAGTTCTTAGAAAAAAAAATATTAAATGCTTGATTTTTATATTATTAAAAAAAGTATATTTTATTATATGAATCTGCATATAAAATTTAATATATATTATTATTAATTTTGCGAAATACTGAAAATCACAAAAATGTATATAATTATATTATTATAATTATATTATTATTATTATTATTATTATTATTATTATTATATATTATTATTATATATTATTATTATTATATTACTATAATTATATTATAATTGAGGATATATATAAAAATTGCAAAAGATTCTGATTTTGAACGAAAAATGTAATAAAATTATCAAATAAAAAGATATATAAAAAAAATATATATTAATGTAAGTGGGAAAAATATTTAAATGTTTAAAAAAAAATTGGAAAATTTATTTAAAAAATAATTGGAAAAGAAATATCATCTTTAAAAAGAATAAGATTTTGCCAAAAGATTAATAAACAAATGGACAATTTTAATAGAAATGCAAAATCATAAATTATAGTAGTCATCTAATATATCAATTTT